GAGCTGTTGAGCTACCAACCAGCCCCAAAGGTTGTGAATCTCACCAAAGATTAACCACATAATAATAATAAAATAGTATTTATTAATGCTGCTTGTGAAGAAATGGAGATAAATTGCCAGGTGTCCTTGCATTGGGTGCCTGTCACCTGCTATTTATTCCATATATCTCCTTCTTTCCTCTAATGCATTAGACCTGGGAATTTCTATTGTTATCTTGGAATTGGACTCTGCCCCCATGTTCCCCTTGTCCAGTTTCTCCTGGGAGCCTTTGAAGCCAGTGCCATCGCTCTGGAGGATGATAGAAGAGCAGCTAGCACCCAGCGAGAGACTGGAAGTGAAGACTATTTTGGGAATTGATCTCGTGGACCACAGCTTGGAGCTTCATGATGAGGTTTGGAAGGGGAACTTTAGGCCAACTGTATGACCTAAAAGTGTGGTTTATGAAATAGAATGTATAGAGGGGCTTCAAAAAAACACTACCTAATTTTGAATGGGTGTGGGTGGCGTCTACCACATGTATTGTCACAATAGCGTCCCTTGTGTTTTTGACAAAGAGCTTAATTGTACAAAAACTTCATTGGTATTATGTATCTGGAGCTGCTTTAATGTGATGTGCTTTTTAACATGGGAACTGTAATCCGAATACTTTTGGAAGATTAGGTTGGGGAAAGGTGCTGAAGGTACACACAAGCCAGTTTGGTCTAGTAATTAAGCCCTCAGGCTAGAAAGCAGGAGACCACAAGTTTCCTGCCTTAGGCATGAAAGCAGCCTGGGAGACATTAGACTAGTGACTAGTCACTCGCTCTCAACCCAAATCACCTCAAAGGGGTTGTTGTGGAGAAAATATTAGGAGAAAGGTCTGTTAGATATATTCACCACCTTGAGTTTTCTGTAAACATCTCAGAGGTGAAATACAAATTTAAAAAAATAAAGAGATGAGACTAGACATTTCATTTGTCATTTAGTGTATGCCACATGGAACAAAGAACTCTTCAATCAGAGCCATCTGCATGCTATTTAGTAATGTGAACTGATTAACGCTGATATGTTTGGCTAAAGTATCTACAATGTTTTGCCAGTATTATATTTTATACTTATGGTTCCCAACACTTCATTTCAGCAATCTGTGCAAAATTACTGTAGATCAGGGGTGTCAAATTCAATTTCCTTGAGGACCGCATCAGGGTTGTGTTTGATCTTGGTGGGCCGGGGTAAGCATGGCCAACATGACATCACTCATGCCCGGGGGGGGGGGGGCACCTGTAGTGGCCTGAGCGCTCTTCTACAAAAACAGGCTCCTGGGACCCATTTTTGGTCTTGATGGTCTCCTGTGTGCCCCCCCCCCCCGAGGGAGATTGTTGTGGCCAAAAATGGAGTCTGGGACAGCCTCATGCGGCCCTCCCGAGCTCCGTTTTTGCTGACAGAGCCACTACTGGCCAGTCCTTTGCTGTTTCCAGGTTGGCCCCACGAGCCAGATCTAAGCACCCCATCGGCTGGATCCGGCCTGGGCACCTTGATTTTGACACCTCTGCTGTAGACTGTTGAGTTCTGGAGAAACCATCTCTCTCTTCACTGCTTTTGAAATACAAACAGTCATTTTGGGGGAAAATTCAGAGTTATAATCTGAGAACTGCCCAAATAGGAGGATTATTTCTCCCTCCAATGATCAAATGTTGGTCTCAAGCAATAGCATTCAAGCAATAAAACAATATTCATTATTTTATTGTTCAAGTGTTGTTGCTCTTGTTTGTTTTTGCTTTTTTGGCCAGTTCAATCTGGATGTCCCAACTACTTTCAAAGTCTAGTTTAGATCCTGTAAGGGAAATTTATCTGCTCCGGGAAACCCAAATTGTAAGTGAATTGATGAATTGCCTTCTCTCTCATCTGCAAGTTTCCCTTTTGACCCATGTCAGATGGCTTCTAACACTTGGCTAGAGTCCCTAATCCTATTTCAAGCTCTTTGTTCTATTCCAGTCATTCACACCCTTTATTCAGCCTGGGGCAAAGAACAATAAACATTCCAAAATTCTTTCTCATGCTAATGGATTTACTTCTCTCTGCATGGATTAGTTAAAATATACTTTGCATGTAAAAATAAAGAAAATAGAATAACATGGGATGGATGGACAAAATCAAGATACTACTGGAATATTTGTGGAATTGCTGTGGATTGTCCCCAGAGACTGGTTTATCCCGATAGCCATCAGGCACCTAATTCCCTGCCTACCAAGATAACTGGTATGCTTTTCCATCTATATCTTCCTGGGGTCTATGACTCCAAAGCATCGTAATTTCTATTGTAATAGTATCTTTTGAGGTTTCTTACCTACTTTTCTATTTCCTCTTAATTTCAAGCTGTCATGTGGCAGAAGGGATACCTAATTTCACTGCTCTGCTCTTGTCCCCAGTCAGGACAGCTGGGAAGTGGTTCAGTAAAATAATTGTACTTTTGTTGATATGTAGGGCCAGTGGCGGTGGCTTAGTGGCTAAGATGCTGAGCTTGTCGATCAAAAAGGTTGGCAGTTTGGCGGTTTGAATTCCTAGCTCCGCGTAAAAGAGTGAGCTCCTGTTACTTGGCCCAGCTTCTAGCAATTCAAAAGCATGTGAAAATGCAAGTAGAAAAATAGGAACTATGTTTGGTGGGAAGATAACAGCATTCCGTTCAGAATGACCAGCATATATGTGCAAGGGGAACCTTCACCTTTAGGGCCAGGATGGGAGTGCTGGAATTTGTCCTCCAATAATGCCTTACATTATGTCTTTTGTAGGCTGGGGATATTTTGTCTGCAGAGTTCAATATATTCCCTCCCTTTCTCACAGGGGAAGCAATAGTGTGAAGGGATATGGATTCAGCTTTGCAGCTTTTATGGAATATCAGTGTTACAAAGATGATAGCAATGCAGTCTTATCTTGCATTGGGTGGCAATACAGATAGTCCTCGACTTATGACCACAAGTGAGCCTAAAATGTTTGTTGCTAAGTGAGACAATTAAGTGAATTTGCCCCATTTTATGACCTTCCTTGCCACAATTGTTAAGAGAATCACTGCAGTTGTTAAATTAGTAACACAGTTGTTAACCATTTCCCATTGACTTTGCTTGTCAGAAGGTCGCAAAAGGTAATTCCCATGACCCTGGGACACTGCAACCATCATGAATATGAACCAGTTGCCAAGCATCTGCATTTTGCCAATCTGACTGTGGGGATGCTGCAGCAGTTGGTCGTAAGTCATTTCAGTGCCATTGCAACGGTTTTTAAATGAACTGTTGTAAGTCGAGGACTACCTGTATTCTGCGCTAGTCTGAGTGTGGAGAGTAGGTATTTTAATGTGAGTGTGTGTGTGGGGGGGGTGTTATTATTGATGATAAACTTGTAGAAGAATCTTGTCCACCTTTTATTAAAGGGTTGTGGCATAATAGCTCCTTCCTTGATTCTAAAATGCTTTTCAGAGCAGCTTCCCTCAACTTTCTGTCCACAAATGAGTTGGCACTACAATTGCAGACTGACTGGGAATTTTTAGAGTTACGCAGGAGGATGGAGGTTAGAAAGTGTTGTTCTATAATTTCACAGCCTATGCCAAGTCCCTAGATAAATTAAAATGTTACTAAAATATATGAGCCGCCGTGGTGGTGGAGTGGTTAAAGTGCAGTATTGTAAGTGCCCACTGCCAAGAGTTCGATGGTGACTGGCTTAAGGTTGACTCAGCCTTCCATCCGTCCATAAAATGAGGACCCAGATTTTGGGGGGCAATATGGTGACTGTAAACTGCTTAGATAAGGCTGTAAAGCACTGTGAAACGGTATAGAGGTCTAAATGCTATTACTATAACGGGCTATATACAGAAGCAGGTTGCTTCAGCATCCCAATCTTGAGTTTTATGACATGGATGAATTTAATGGAGAGCGTTATTAATCACAACATAATATAATAATGTATACATTATTATCATTCATGAGTCTTGTAGTTACATATGCTTTTGTTCTCTCACGTTTTTACTTTTTAAAACCTTTTTCTTTTAAATTAAATTCTTCTTCCTATGCTGCTGCTGTCTTAAGGGATATTTTTATTCCTTGGTATATGTTTTCAATCCATAGGTCTCTGTTATATGAGCAGGATGTTTTTCTTTTTTGAATTTCAGAAGATTCATAGAAAATGAATTGTTTCTGTGTCTGTGTTTTGAAATCGATACATGTAAAAGAAGTAGAGTATTGGGGGCATATGAGAGAGGCTTTGGAAACGAAGGCTGAAAAGATATAGGAAATAACCAAGTGAGATGATAAGTAGCACAGATGAGATGAGGAAGCAAATAAAAGGGAAGGACCAAAAAGATAAAATATCTATTGCAATCTTCCCCTTTGTGAGATCTCCTAAGATAGAAACAGTTATTATTTTGAGACAAACGACAAATACCATGAGCTATGGTCAAACGTAGCTGGATGTACAAGTTTAGAGAAGAATGGTACAAAGTGATAGCACACCAAGGAAACTTGCTGGAAAATTTTGAGTCAGTTTTGTTTGATAATTAAGATATTGAGCTGGTCCTAGGATTTAAATCCAACATCAGCCACAAAAGTTCCTAGGTGACTTTGAACCAATCACTGCATTTTAGTCCATCCAACCTCACTGGATTGTAGTGGGGAAATATAGGAGGAGAGAGAGGACTGCTGTGAGGTCATGAAGAAAAAGTAAAATATCACATAAATGATTGATTTTGACATTTGGGATATTTGCATCAGATATTTCCAGAACCTCCACAACCATTTTAACCAATCTTGCAGCCTACCTAATATGTAGGTTTGTACCATGGTATTGAAGACTATTAAGTTATGAATCTGACCCCCAACCCAGATTTGATCTTGCAACATTATCCTGGGACGCGTATATTTGCCTTCATTTGTGAAGATTATCCAGGCTTCTTTATGACTTAGTCTTTCAAAGAAAAGGGAAAGTTTCTGCATGATGTTATTATCTTGCTCAATTTAGCTTATGAATCTTTGAACAAAGAAGCATCTGGAATGTAGCAGGAATGCTACAATTGTAGTCAGTGGTGGGATTCAAAAGTTTTTACTATCAGTTCTGTGGGCGTGGCCTGGTGAGCATGGCCTGGCTTGGTGGGCATGGCAGGGGAAGAATACTCTAAAATCTCCATTCCCTGCCCACTCCAGGGGAATGTTACTGCAAAGTCCCCATTTCCTCCCGATCAGCTGGGACTCGGGAGGCAGAGAATAAATGGGGGTGGAGCCAGTCAGAGGTGGTATTTACCGGTTCTCCAAACTATTTCCGCTATCAGTTCTCTAGAACTGGTCAGAACCTGCTGAATACCACCTCTGACTGTAGTCTTCATATGTGTAACTATTTCTCATTATTTGGGTATGTGATGGAAGGGCATGGAAAAATTAACCAGTGACCTTCTTGGGATTTGTATCATGCAACTCTAAATATTTTGGGGTATATCCGATGCACACAGTTAAGCCTCCTCCCTCTTTACAGGTAAAGACTCTCTTAGAATTCTATCAAGAATCGCAATTGGACCATTTTGAGCAAAGACCTGATAACTGCATCTTACTGGCTGCTCCTCCCCACCTGAAAGAACTAGTAAGAGAGGAGATTCGCCTACTCCTGGTTGGCTTGCAGCAAAAGGCATTGCAGGAGGGCAGGTACTGGTGAAAATGAAATGCTTCACAGTGAAGGTGTAACCTGCTTGCAAATTCTAAAATATTGCAAGCAGAACTCTAAATTAAGGTCTGTAGTCTTTGTAGAAAGAAAGATGCTGTAAATCTCTAACTCAAGAGCCTGTGGACCAGGCTATATAAAACTTCCAAATTCCTTGTGATTCAAATCCCCAGAAATCACACTGTCAAACTTTATGGGCAAGAAAGGTGTTATTTCCCACTTTTTTTGTAGTGATAATGGGGAAAAATAGAGAAAACTTTTCCCCTAGTTCTACTGGGCATTTCCTGATGCATAGAACTTAAATCTCACTTCTGTCTCCACTTCCCATTTATGCAGACATCTCACAACAGCACAACTCCAACATTCATCTCTTTTGTTTCTCTAGTGTGCATGATCCACAATCCATATACTGAGGCTGGGATTATGTCCCCTCCCTCTCCAAATTCAAAAGAGGGATTCATCTGAATGAGAACCAGAATCAACCTCAGCAAAGGGGCTCTTGGCCAGATATTTGCCTCCTAACATTGTTGCTGTATAAATAATAGAAAGGGCACTGAGGACAATTAGAATGGATTAGCCAGCAAGGAAAATGTTTTTCTTCCCAATATTTCAGTTGCGCACTGGAAACAAGTTTGTTTTATTACCCCTTCAGGGTTTTCTTCACTATTTAAACCTTGCTGTCTCTTGGCCCCAGCCTTGTGTAGTATGGTTAGAAGAGTTCCTCTCACATTATCTTTATTCTAACCGCTGTGCCATGATGGTGCAGTGGTTAGAAGGTAGTATTACAGGCTGACTCTGCCCACTGCCAGGAGTTCAATCCTAACATATGTCCTGAAGCTGAGCTTGTGTGCCCAACAATATGGCTCGACCTGCCACCTATGGCACACGTGCAATAGGGTTGCCATCATGGACCTAGATTGCTGGGGGCAATATGCTGATTCTGTAAACCACTTAGAGGGCTGTAAAGCACCATGAAGTGGAATATAAGTCTAAGTGCTATTGCTATTGACCTGATTGAGTTTAAGCCATGGTTCCTTTCATACAGTGGATAGGGGGAAAGAAGGGCCTTTTAGTTAAACTTGCTTTTTTCTTTTAGTTTAAGGATGCTCATGTAGATGATTTTCATTTCATATTCCAACAAGTTTATGGCTGCAATCGTTGAATGTAAGAGATGGGTGGCCTACTCATGACTCCATTAATGAGAAGATTGAGGCTAGGTCCTTGTCTCATGCCTGCTTCTTATTTCAGGGACCACGACTGTGCCATTGCCAAGTACAACACAAATGTGATCAACTTTGCTTTTAAGACAAATGCTGGAAGTAATCGGCCATCATCCAGGAGCAACAATCTCATCAGGTAAGACTCAAAAGTAAACTTTATTCAGCTGTCTTGTATATTATATATCTATTGTAATATGTTAATTCATATATACATTTGTTTTCCCCTTTTAGATTCTTTGGGGGGGGGGGTTAGATATATTATTTTGTACATTGTATTTTCCCTCCCATTTTCTTCCTAGTTATGTTTATATGATATGGGAGAGGAAAGGAGGAGGGAGACACAGACACATAAGTGTTCCATTAGACTTATTTTTGATAAATATAATTAAGATTTAATTAATAGTACCTAAGTATGCATCAACATATAAAGGATGTTTGCCTAGGTCTAATATTTTGACCTGCTGGTAACTGTAGTTTTTTGGCGTTTGGATATTTGTGCAAAAACTGGCCATGAATTGCCACCTTGTTCATCTACTGCTGGAACTGAAATGCATGCTGTGTTAGGCGGGTCAACCACTGCTCTGTAATCTCCATAGAGGAGAGAGTTCGGGACATTTACAGATATGCAATGAAGCTTACTAACAACTCCATCCAGATTCTGCTCCCCATTCCTGATCCGAGCTGCTTCGTGCCAGATTGTGGACTTGGAATCTTGCCTGGCTGAAGGAAAAGCTGGTCTTTCTTAAATTGTATAGTATTTGTATTAATCCCATTTCTGTTTTCCTAGGTCGTTGTCCTGTAGCAGCCCAAATGATTTGGAACCGTATTCTGATAAATTGAATATCACTCAGATCGGCGAGATAGCTTCTAGACTTAGGCAAGTTTGCACACCTCCTTTCTGCTTTATATTTTTCTTCTAGGAACAGTTATTAGAAACAAGGAGTGTAAGAGGACTTGTAAGGGGGATGAACAGAATTGCCAATGGTAAATAATGGACTGGCTCATCAGAAATAGGAGTGCTTGGGGCAGCAGAACATAAAAATACATGCCAATGAACCCAACAATTTGTATTCAGAATTTTCTCCTCTGCTCCCTAAAGAATAACCTGCATCATACTTATGAAAACAAGAACAGGGAGATCTGCAAGCATCTCATTCTGATTTCCTCTGCCTGCACATGTGTGTTGTATGCTTTCTTCTATGTGAATGTAGTTTATGGATCAGTTGTGGCAGAACAGTTTTTGAGCAGCAATGCAATAGGAACTTTTAAACTGGGAAATCTTGGTGAAACAGCTCTACTACAATTACTCCTCACGGCATTGTATTAGCTGCTGCTTTGAAATCTTGGCCTGAATGTATCCAAACTTCCATTTCTTTCCCTCTTTGGAAGAGGCAGAATGTGCAAACTGTCCCATTGCATTATGGGATGCAAAAATGTGGTTTTCAGAAAAAAGGATCATGAAGCAGACACCTCACTAAACAGTTAAATAGTACCATGAGTTCTATGAATTTGATATAGGAATGAAAGGGGTCCTAGTTGCAAGGAATCCAGCAAGAAACAGTTCACTGCTCAGGAGTTTGGGAAATTTTGAACCAGAATGCTAACAGAGGAACAGACCCTATTAAGGTCAGGAGTGCTTGTGAATTTTCTTATTGAGCGTATTCATTAGGCACCTCCCTAACCTGAATCTCACATCACCAATACACTGAATTCCTACTTAAAAAAAAAAAAAAAGCTGATGTCCGGTCTTCTAATTCAGTTTTGAATGGCTAGTTTCTATAATGGGAAACAAAAATTGGAGGAATCCATGGAAGTCTCACACTCAATCTCTGCCCCTGGCGATTGCTTATTTTCTCCCAAATCTGACATTCTGTCAAATCTTTATTGACATTTTTATCTAGGACTTTATGTCATTTTTATCTAGGACTTTGCTAGAGGAGGAATGCCATGCTCTGGAAAGATACATTATACTTTTACAGGTAAGGACTATATCTCAGCTTTCCCAGAACTTCTGGACACTTGTACTTTTAAAAGTCCAATTCGGATTTTGGTCATGGATCTATGAGGCTGCTTTGTACACCAATGTATTTAAACTTCACTCTCAACTTGCTCTTCATTTAGAATATCTAAAGTGGTCTAGTGATCATCTCTGATTTGGGAGCTTGTCCTATGAAGTACTCACACTCCCATAGTACAGCACTTAGTTTTTTAAATGGGGAGAGGGAGTATTGTGTAATGAAGATACGTTTGACTTTTATCCCAGCTTTGTAACTAATTCATTAGCTGCCATTCCGCTCATCTTTTCTGGTCTGAAGGGGGTGATAGGTGAGAGCTGAGATGCAGGGGTCAATGGCATTTTTGGTATGCAAATGCCATTGCTCTGGATGCAAAGTTGCTACAACACTACCACCTACTGTTTGTCTCTGCTTTTCTGAACCAACTTTGCTCTGTGCTCTTTGCACAGGAATTCTGGGTAACATTGTCACAATGACATAGGAATGCAGAAAGGCTATTTTCCAGGGGAAAGGAAACTTAATCTCCTTGACTGAAGGGACTGGGTGTGTATTGCTCATCTAAAATAGCTTTCTGTAGTGATAGGGGCATGTAAGAAGGAGGGGGGAAGTGAATCACTTCTGTGTACAGAACTCTCAATGCATAAATTCTTTTGGGAAAGGCAGGTATTCCTATGGGGACTTACAAAGGAGTACGACTTTGACATTTCAATGTCTTTTCAAAAATGTCCTTTGATTTACAGAACCAACTAGAGGAGGTGCATCAGCATGCTACTGAGATGCAAGACAAAATGCATGAACCCACCATGGCTGGTAAGCAAAACTCTCATCTCATGTTTTTATTTAGAATTAGACTGGGGATTGGAAAAGAGGATTTTCTCCAGTAGAGACAGTATAAATAATTGGGCATAGATTATTTCTAAGCACTAGTCCCCCTGTATTGTTCTTGGGCTTATTGTTTCTCCATCTTGAAGTAATCCTCTGTCCGCAGAACTACAGGAAGAGAAACGTGTCATGGAGTGGGATTTGCAATTGAGTCTGCCCAAGTCATGTCCTAGGACACCTTCCCCGATGTCAAACCAGTTTTGGAATAGCACCAATTTGTCTCAGCTCAGGTAGTATGAAAATGCTTGCAAACTACAATATTAAGAAGAGGTGGAAAGAGCAAAAGCCTTACAGGAGAAAGTGAGAAACTTAATTCAGCCTTGATTTATTATTACTCTATCTCCAGAATTTTGAAGTAACATTTTTTGGAATTTGTTCTGTCCACTTTAGTGGAGTTTGGAGGTCCATAAACTCTTCTGCAATGACTCGAGTTTCTGCAATTTTGTTACTTTTAATGGGAAGATGCTTAAATAAAACCTTTTGTATCATACAACTCCTTCTCTTTATTTCACAGCCATCTAAGAGGTTTAGTGAAAGGGCCAGGATTTGGACAGATCAATCCTGCTTCTAATGAGATTCCTTCACCAGATCCCAGGGATCAGATTTCTCTACTCTGCTATCAGCCATCATCCCGATGGAGCCCTTCGACAAGAACCCCTTTGGAATGGATGCATCAAAAGAGTGAGGATTCCAACCAGGCAAGGAAAGACAGTGACACTAAGCTGCCTACAACATTGGGACATCCAACTGCTTCAGGATATAGACCAGCTTCAGCATCAGCCTGGGAACCTGCTTTCCTTCCCATGCCTCCTGCAGAACCTTGTCCTCCGACTCGCTTTTGTCCCCGTATTAGATTGTTGCAATGTAAAGGACCAAGCTAAGAAAAATAGAACTTCCTCTTCCTCCTGACATCTCCCTGCTTGCTCTGGGGCAGCAGTGCCCATTTGAACCACAGGCTGCTGTCCCCTAGGCTTGAAATGTTTAATGTTGACTACTGCTGTATTTGCTCATTCTTAGGTTCAAATCCATGGATTCCAAAGAAAGTAACAAGGCCATGCTAAATATCCTTTCTTCTGTACAGATAAGTGTCCTGGGAGTGCAGCAGTGTCCCCCTGGGATCCTTTCTCCTCCTCCTCCCCATTAGGCAGTACAATAATTCCATTATAATGTTAAAGAAAAGAAAAGATACGGCTCCTCAAATCGCCCTCTTCCGATCCCACAAAAAGAACTGTACATCCTGAGTTCAGGAATATAAATTTCATTAAAATCTATGAGACTTTAACAATCTACAACTGGGAGAGTCACAGTATGGGAGACTCGTACAATTATTGCTATGAACAATGAGACCTTGGCAGTGGCAGTTGCCACACTCTGCAGGAGAGGGAAGGACAGACATGAAACCATGCATTAAATAGTGCATTTTCAGTACAGAGGAGGGAAAGGGTTGGATGCTGGCGACTTAAGGTAAAAATGCCATCATGACATGAAGCCATATTTCCTCCCTATCATCTGTGCATTATGCAGACATTTGGCACTTAAAACACTGGCCATTTCGCCAACGTCACTGGCTGGGGCAGTTACCCTGTGGGTAGGGACCAGATGTGCCCTTGCTGTTGGCACTGTAGCAATTGGGCATCCCTGGGAGCTGAGGGATGCCCCTTACAAGAAGTTTGGCATTGGTGTCCTGGTACCATTGCTGCCACAGGATAAAGGGCAAGGGAGTGGCTGTCAGGACCTCCTCCAAGGCCTTGCTCAGGATAAAGTGCAGGCAGCAATGCTGAAATGAAAATATGGGGCAATGAGGCAAGAAGACACAACCATTTAGTTACCCCACCCCATTTGAGCCAGTGTGAGACCTGGCTTGTGTCACAACGAGATCATCCTGCTATGAGACATTGGGGCTTCTGGCCAACTTCTTCATGACTGCAGCATGGGAATAGAGGCTTCCATCCCCATTGGGAAGTGGCGGTCCAGGGCTAACCAGGAATAGCTTTCGTGGAAGACCATGCTTTCTGACCTTTGTGCTTCCCTCAAATTGCAAGGGCTGGTCTTGGCACATCATCTACTCTTAGCACCATGGTTGGCTCTGCTCCTTTCCCTAGGGACTGGGGCAGGGCTAGGTCCCAAGGGTCCCTTGCAAGTAGAGGGACCCTATTCAAATTCATTTGCTCCTTTGTAGGGGAAGAGAATCAACAATGGCCTCAGAGGCTCCATTCCTCAGAACTCAAGTACAAGCGTCTGCATAATTCAGTTCAATACTTTGCTCCACCACCTCTACACAATGTGGCAGCAGCTTACAGAAGTTTCCCACGAGCTTGGGACTTTCCTGGATCTGAATCAGTCACACAGCGTCTCTATTAAGTGTGTGTGTGTGTGTTTGTATACACGAGAAAAGAATTCTAGACAGACAAATAAGGCTAGATCCTCCCTATTATGAGAGATTTCTGGAATTTTCTTAAGCTTTTGGAACCATCATTGGAACTTTATATCTACAGTCCTGAAAAGGCTACCCCACTTTTCATAAAATACTAGACAAGTGGGAAAGCTGGGAAGGTATAGATACTGATGGGTAGTGTGCAGTTTTCCATGCATGTGTGCAAGAGTGCTCATAAAGGCAGTAGTCTAGCTGAAGGTTGTTGAGCTCTAGACTGAACTTTGCCTAGAATATCAGCTCAAATTTGAAACCACTACTGACCCCCAGCACTCCCATTAGTTTCCTTGTGGGGCCAGCCAAATAGCCCTGATCCAGGGCAGTGAGGACCGTATCGTCCCCAATAGATTCTAGATTCGCTGGACCCAGGAGTAGCTGCCAGAAACCACCCTGAAGGGATTTCTAAGCTTCTAAGACATCAACCAACCTTCCTACTGGTACCTCTCAAGGAACCCCACCTAGTTAGCCAGCACACACATCTGTCTCTGATCCTGGCTGTGAATTGGGGCCATGAGCATTACTTGTAAACATAAGGGTTACAAGATGGCACAGGGACACTAATGAGATGGGTGGGATGGGAACTCATAGCCCCCTCCCCCAGAATCCAGCACAGCCTGGGAGCCAGGGGTCCCCCACCCAGTGGGGGTACTTTAGTATATCTGAGCAGAGTAGGGTTTAGAGAACCAGGACAGGTGGGAATGGATTGATGCAAGGAGTGCTCTCTGCCCTGCCTCCCAGGCTAAGGTTCACATCATTGAGTCTTGGCTGTGGGTTGAGCCATTGCTTCCGATGGTGATGGCAGCCATCATGCCAGCCTCATCACTTTTGGGTTTCTCAGGGTTCAGCAGCTGCACCTCCAGCTGGGATTCTGTTGAGCTGAATGCTGTTGCGTAGCGGCCGGTCTTGTGCTCAACAAGCGCTGGGCCCCAATCCCGGCTTGGCCGAGTAGCATTTTTCAAACGCTGCAGAGATACAAAAGGCAAACAAGGAGTTGGTGGTTTCAAGACCTGGTTTGCAGTGGGATCTGAGGCAAGTACACCCATAATGTTCAGAAAGTAGCAGCATCTCTGCCCAGTTGCCGGCAAGCCCCAGTCCTACCTGCAGCAGTGAGTCTCCTTCTGAGCGCAAAATGTAGTAGCCTGCATAGATGGGGATGCAGATGACCGATGAGAGCGCCATACAGAAACCAATGGCGATGGCCCAGGTTGGGTACACATAAGTGTTGTATGTAATTGGTTCATACTGAATCACTGTAAATATGAGGATAAACTGGAAGGAGAGGGGGAAAAGATTGATTAAAGCCAACTATATTGTTCTGACCTAGGCTTCCTGATACAGTAAAAAGCACACGCTTAGTCCCCAAAACCGTCTTTTTATTTCAAAGGCTGTGAATTGTGTTCATTCACAGCCCACAATGAGTCCCAAATAGTTGTAAAGAGTCCTACAGTAGGCTGCAAAAGTCCTTCAGAATAAGGCTGATAAGCACCCATCTTTATCTTCTTTGACACGCTGCCAAAGACTTAAATGGCAATGAGCTTGGCAAGGCCACACGGAGCAAAGAGTCAAAATGGAGTTTTAGAAGATAAACTAACCAGCATGAACCAAGTTGCTTCCTGGAAAGTCCCATGTGTCTTTGCTCCTCCCTTATGTCCTATGGGAGGGGCCAATCACCTCTAAGCCTTACACCCAAGTCGTCCCTTCTGTCTTAACTGTTCTTGCCTTCTGGCAGCTCTGCCCATGCGTGCACTGGGAATAGGGGGAGCCTGTTCCTCTGCCTCGCTGCTGTCTGACTCTGGAGGCTCGGGAGGCAGCACATAACTCCCAGATGGCCTGGGCCCCTCTCTGCCTCTGATGCAGAGCCCGCATCCAAGCTGTCTCCAGCCTCCAGGACTGGCCTATGTTCCTCCCCAACCTCCTTGCTGTGTTGACTCTGCTGCCAACTCCGCAGACTGCCGGTGGACCATAGCATATATATGTACTACCTGGCATCATTCCTAGTCTTGCATTCTAGGGACCTTCAAAAGCTCTCTTAATTTTTCAGACATGCTTGTTTTTTCACAGGAAGTAGAAAACCTCTGGCCTTCTCTCCCCCCTCCCCCACTTACTTATCACTGTGTTTTTGTCACAGTGACAAAAGCAGCTTAGTCTTTATTCCATTCTGGTTATGTTGTTAGTCACCAGTCCCCTTTTCCCTCACTCCCAATCCTGTCTCCTATGTTCTTTTGCGTGTCCCACTTCTTTATACTCACAAAGATGATAACCGGAGAGATGAACCTCCAACAGATCTGGAAAAATATGGGTGGTGGAAACCCCAGCATCATCTCAATGTCCTTGAAATAGCTCCGGTACCCTGGATAAGAAGATGGTCAGTCGATTAGACTGGAGGTATTGTAATTAGACACTAGGAATACTGCAAGAGTTCACAGGGTATATTTCTTCATTATGTTTCTCTCCCTGTTCCTCAGTATGGCTCTTTTGCTCCCTACCTCTATCACAACTCCTGAGAGGGAAAGCACAGCACAAAAAAAGTCTATGCAATGAAGACATCTGAAGCAAGTTCTCATTGCCCACTGGCAGAGTGCCTGATAGGGTTAATGTCCAGAACAGAGAACATTAGGCAAAATATCTTTTGGGGCACCCCCTTTTAGGATAATGGGTTCACTCAGTATACTGTAATAAATGTGATAGCAACAGCAATGATTGGGAGATGGTTAAGAGACATCACAATGACTTGATTCCCTAGTACACAAACCTTATGCCCTTGAAACTTGCCCGAGGAGGCCAGATTTCTGTACTAAACCTGCTGCTGTAATCTGCTTCTTTAACTACAAACTTTTTTTAATTGGGGAGCAAGTAATCAGATCTGCAGCTTGGATCCAGTCTTCTGAGTGAATGTGTCCAATGAAACCAAATACTGGCAACAGCCGAGTAAACTTTAATATCCTTTGAATTTTTGTGATTGGATATTAGTCCGGTCTGCATTTGAGTTATGGACTCTTTATAAGAAAGAATTGAACACAAATTCCCAATTGCAGCTTTTCCCTAACTGTTTCTTACTCCAGGCTCCAAGGAAATTATAGCCAGGGAAAGTGCCGTTTTCTGCTCTTGGATCTATGTAATATAGTTAATCTTTCGGTATTCCTGGCTGTCAGGTCCCCAGGGGAGTTCTGGCTGTACTGATCAAGTGCTAACTGTTGGAACATCAGTATTCCATTCTTGTATTGTTCCAATTAATCCATGGAATTGGCAGAAGTTACTCACCATAGACATACATAATGGCAACACACATGATGCATGAAATAACCACAAGTGAAAAACTTGCTGCATAATTGTCCATCAATGATAACCAATAAATACCAGCCTAGAGGAGAAACAAACGAAAAAGAAAACAATTAAGTACTGGATTAAGCAAGCCTTGCCCCTTTCAGCCTTAAAATGGGCTATTTCTGCCTTGCCCTTTAACTCTCCCTCATACCTGTGTGGTGAGTGGGATACCTAACAGAAAGCCCACCACAGCCACACCTAGAGTCACAAAAGTCTTCCGACGCAATATCCATTCATTTCCCACTTCATCCACAATGGCTGTGACAAGAGTTTCCAGGAGACAGAACTGAGGAAAACATAATGAAGAAGAAAAAGTAAACGATAAAATCACTGTTGGTTGGTGGTATATTTTACCAGTTATCTGAACTGCGCAAAATCATAAGAACCGGTTCGCTCAAATTGGTCCGAACCGGCTGAATCCCCACTCTTGCTTACAACTATTTGTTTACTAACCATTTGAACTTACAATAGTTTTGAGAAAAGTGACTTAGGACGGTTTGTCAGACGACCGTTGCAGCATCCCCATGGTCACGGGATCAAAATTTGGATGCTTGGCAACTGGTTTATATTTATGACAGTTGTCGTGTCCCACAGTCAACCTTCTCACAAGCAAAGTCAATGGGGAAGCCAGATTCATTTAACAACTGTGTTACTAACTTAAACATGGCACTGAATTCACTTAACAACTGTGACAAGAAAAGTTGTAAAATGGGGCAAAAGTCATTTAACAACGATCTCACTTAGCAACAGACATTTCGGGCTCAATTGTGGGTGCAAGCCAAGGACTACCTATGCATCAGTTTTGATTAATTTAAAGATTGGAGATCAGCAGGGCTTCTTAAGTGAATCGGCACTTGGGGCAAATGTACTTTATTTGGGAGGAGAATCTAGCGCTAATAGTTATGTTCAGTGCCTTAACCTGCCACCTACTCCCAGGTGGGTGTAGTCCAGATGTGTATGATTACAATTCTCATCATTCTAAGTCAGCATGAGAATTGATTATAAAACTTAAATATAATGGGAGCTTCAGCTTGATTCCATCTAGGATACAGAAGGCTGCCCTATTGGTACAGCTTCATTAGGACTCACTTTGCCATAAAGGAATTTGGAATGATAGTCATTCGGTATCAAAGTAATCATTCTCCATTTCCCATGATTTCCAAGCACCATTAACATCTTTCCTTCAAACTAGATGAATCAAGTTTGGGGCATATATGTACATACATATGTTTATTAACTAATTTAGCTTTCTCTGGAGTTGTAGCTTTCAGACATGTTGGGGACCTAGAATTGGTCCAAAGCATAAACTGCAAATAACTGTGTTTACCTGTGTACCCAGCCCCAGCAGGATGAGCATGAAGAAGAAGAGAACAGACCAAAAAGGGGAAACGGGGAGGAGTGTCAATGCCTCAGGATAGGCCACGAATGCCAAACCAGGGCCGTGGTCGGCCACCTTGGAGACATCCACTCCCAGGTGATGAGCCATGAAGCCGAGGATAGAGAAGATGACAAAACCTGCGTAGACACTGGTAGCACAGTTGGTAATGCTGATGATGATGCTGTCTCTGTGGGCACACAAAGTTGGGAGAGCTCATGAAAACTACAGCTGAACAGGAGAATCCTGAAGCAAGCCGAAAGATCTGCATCTAAAGAATGGGCTCCCATGTGTGATGTGCAAGTGGGTTTAGGTATTAAATTAGGGGAGAGGTTTATTTTTATTGTTATGTTTTATTTACATTTAACTATGTTTTAGTTAATTCGAGAAGACTATATTTTAATTCTTGCAGCCATCTTGAGCATCATTTGTTGGTAAGATGGGATATAAACCCATCTGACTTGTGCTTTCTAAAGGCAATCTTATGAAAGCCACCTGCACTTCTGAGATCCTTAGATGAAAGAAGGCAAAATTATTTAATTACAAAGAACAAAGAAAACACAACTTCTGTTTCAATTTGCCAAATTAATACAAAACATTATGTGAACTTGCATCATCTTCAAAATTAATATGTACTTTGAGGCTGCTCCACTTCATGCTTTAAGACAAAACTAAACTTTCTAGTTCCTGTGTTTCAAAGAAAAGCTCAAAAACTATGCATTGTTTAAAATCAAGTTCCTCCACAATGGGAGAGACAAGGATTCTAGCAGTTTTATTACCTGACATCCCTACTATTTTTCATGCGGATTACTTTCTAGACATATGAACTACTATATATCACCCAAAAATCACTTTGTACATCTTTCCCCATCACTTCTATCAAACATCGTACCTGTAGCAGTTGTTGTGAAACTTGTTATATGACGCCATAGTAATGAGCCCACCCCAGGCACAGCCCAATGAATAGAAGATCTGAGAGGCAGCATCTCCCCATACCTATCAAAGATAAAAGATGTTACTGGGGAAACATAGTTGCCTCTTTAGTTTCGAATTAGAGGGAGATATGGCTCTGGGCTGCACAGCTTATGAACCCCTCTGTGATATCCCCTCTAAATACCTTTGCGTCAAGGATTTTGTTCCACTGTGGTGTCAGATAGTACGTGATGCCACTAACTGCACCTTCAAGAGTGATTCCCCGCACAAATAAGATTGTCAGCACCAGGTACGGGAATGTTGCTGTGAAATATACCACCTGAAAGAGGGGGGACAAAAGGAGAGTTGAAGAGCATTCAGACATATTGCAAGTAGAAAACAGGTTCCAGCAACAATTTCTTCTCCCTGAACTTTGATTTCAGCAGCATGACTATCCTGTCATGCTATCCAAATAAGCTTTGACTCTCTTCCTCTTAATAGCAATAGCACTTAGACTTATATACCGCTTCACAGTGCTTTATAGTTCTCTCTAAGTGGTTTACAGAGTCAGCATATTATCCCCAACAATCTGGGTCCTCATTTTACCAATCTCGGAAGGATGGGGGGTTGAGTCAACCTTGAGTCGGTGAGACCCGAACTGCCAAACTGCTGGCAGCCGGCAGTCAGCAGAAGTAGCCTGCAGTACTGCACTCTAACCACTGCACCGCCGCAGCTCTTAAAATAAATACCCTATTGCAGCCACTATAGTTTAACAAATATATAGAATTTAATAAGTATTTAGGAATACCCATTTTTGACTAGATTATAAACCCACAGAATGAGATAAAGCCACTCTTATGTGACCAAGGATGAACATCAGGAGTGCTATGTCAATGTAAAACGGGAAAATAGTCCAGGACAAGGGTGTTTGCAGATGGGGTCAAAAGCCAATCTAAAAGTAGTAAAGGATTTATATGCAGTGCTTGGACACAGGTGAGTTAAGGAAGAGGAACACTACTTGCTTTTCCTGAGGATTTCACACTCTTGATGAGGCAGAGGAAGACGACAATCCAAGAGACACCCAAACAACCCAGCAGGGGAAGCCGCACTTCACCCAGATTCCCGATGTCATTAGAGAGCTTCAGTACATACCGCCTGGAAGAAAAGATAGGAGTATAAACTCCAATTTGCTAGCATTTTACATCCATTTCTAGCAAATTCACCAAACTAATTTGCATCCACAGCTCTCCAAAACTGGCACTCAAGATCAACAAATACAGGGGAAAATTTTTTTAAAGATGGGATAGTTAACTGCTTTGAACAAATTTTAGAGTCAAAAATTAAGTACACCAGTATATAGATGTTTATACTTCAGCACTACAAACTTACACCAGAATTTATGGAGATATTTTGTTTTCAACGACCTCTAATAAGAAACTCTTTAAAATGCAGGTGACAGTTAAGTCTATTAGAGTATAAATAGCTCCCCTAATATGATATTCTTCGATTTCCTAATTCAAGGAACAAAATAAATTTATTTCAACTCTAGTAAAAAATACTGTGATTTTATTTTCTTCCCTACTGTTTCCATCCCTTGGGTCCAGCACTAGTCTTATCTACCTGTGATTATAAAGCACGTTAATAACATATGTCTCTGCCTCACTGGTGGGTTGCTAGCCAGTTTACTAACCGTTTGCTTGTGCTTGTGCGCAATGTTTCTGCGCATGCGCAGAAGTGTCTGGGCGGGTGGGCGGAGGCTCCTGCAGCTGCCACTACCGCTTTGGCCAAACAACCCACCACTGCTCTGCCTACATCCAATCTTTCTGCTACCTGTTTCATTTGAAGCAACAGCTTTCCAATATGCAACATCATCCCCAGTAAGTGTAATAACTAATGTTCAGAAGTGATCAGATCAGATTATTCCCACAGAAGAAAATCTCTCACAAACCAATTCCCATTTCCCCCCATAGCCATTTACTTAATTATCCTCCCTTCCCCCATTATCACCTCCAATATTCCTCACTGGGGCTAGTGCGCTTCAGAGTCTGGTTGAAGATGCGTGTGATGTTGAGTGATGAACCCATTGAGCTGTTGGTAACATCCAACACACTGGTGCAATTTCCTGTATTCCAAAAGTTATTACAGTATGTCCAGGGTAGCACCCGTGTCATTGAAGAGAAGAAATAATAGAAGGCGATACAGATCACAACATTGTAATAGATTCCAATGTAGCTGGAGACAACCATCATACCATAGCCAACACCTGAAGGAAATAAAGTATAAAGATAAATAGAAAGATTTTGAGATGTGAGTTTGCTGCTAAATGTAAAAGATAGAACACATTGATGTTGGAATTGTAAAACAGAGGATGTAAGTTGGCAGGGGCATGTTTAATTTAAAGCAGAAACAATAAAGTCCATGAGGCTAGTTTATGATACAGAGTTAGGTCCTGCCAACACTTACACACACTGATTAGGTTTATGCAACTAAAACAATACTGCGGTTTGTGGTTCAGCATGGTTTTTGGAACCCAGCCATTGTCCTATCCAGTTGTGTGGATCAGACTATCCATTAAGCCATTATATGGTTCGTTGAAGCGTATGCAAGGAGGTGAACACCACAATTAGAATTGGCTGCTGGTGGTTTAGCATTAAATATCTAGTGCAAACACTGACATTACAGGCTTCTGCTTCCAGATTCAAAACAGCAGAAATGCAGCCATGAGGTGGGAAGCAGAAGACTACATATGAATAGTAATGTATCTAGATTAGAGGGACCATAACTCATACATTTACAACTGGGCAGAATAAATCTGGCAAAAGCTAGTGCTAGGAAGTAAATATTTTGACCTTTTCTTTTGGATTTATTGTGAACTTCAGATTTTCTACCTTAAAAAAAAAGCAAATTCTCTGAAATGAAAATACAAGTTTGTTGCTAGGCATTCAATCAGGTTTTAACAATAATCAGATATGGTTCTAGAAATTGTGTTCACATCATATAGCTGAGAGTTATCCAGTCCTCTGGCTAATTACCTCAGCTCCATGCCAGTTAGATCAAAACTGGATGGCATACAGCAGCCATTTTTAAAATCCTAGAGTTGCTGCAAGGAAGCTGAAGGGACATCTTTTCTTTCCAGTTCCTCTTCACATTGGAGGCAGAAATATGTATTTGTCTGATCAGGATAGTCATAAGTGGATGTGATAGGCATCCACCATTGTTTGTTTTATTTTATTTTTTGTTTTCCTTCCTTCCTTCCTTCCTTCCTTCCTTCTTCTTTTTTCAAGACATATGCAGCAAGTTGAGATTTTGTCAAATGATGAAATGTGCATTGTGACATGAGGACATAATTTCTGCCATTTACATTCTTGTGCGCAATTTTGCAATGTAAATAGAAAGGGACTAGGATCTGTACTGCACTGCATCTATGCATGCTGTGTCATCTGCACCCTTCCTTGTCCTGCAGAGATACCTCTGTGTGTGTGTGTGTGTGTGTGTGTGTGTGTGTGTGTGTGTGTGTG